GGCCAAATACATATATATTTTACGGTTCTCAAATTACACCAAATACACTTTCCAAATAAAATCCATTATGGTCTTATTACTCCCAAATCTTGTACTAAATAATAAAATAGTGGAAAGATCTTACTTTAATCAGAGACACTGGTTTAATGGTCAGAACTGGCACTAGCAGATACCATGCAAAGCAACTAGAAGTGGTGCAAAAGCTACTGGACCAATCATAAGAAGGTGAACAAGAAGTCAATCTCAATATCAATGTGGTTGATTTCTGTCTGAAAACATCACACAAACCCAATAAAAACTATTCTCTACAAATTCTAATAATTAAAAGTGGATTTAAGATCCTTACAACTCCTTGTGAAAATGTGCTTCTCCTAGAACAAAACTCGACAGGTCTGTATAAACTTTACTTGTTATCTTTTCTTGTAAAATGCATTAAAAATTGATTTGAAAACTTTTCTTTACTTTACATCTTTTCCCAAAAATGATTTCTACAAATGCAGTATACAATAAATCTCCTAAAATCTTATTACTAAACAATATTAAAACTACTTACAATTTCTACAGCAACCACATCTTTGTAGACCATATTTCCAGTGAACTTAACTGACAAAACTTGAAATGGGTTATCAATCGCCACTACCAACCCTACAAACTAAATCTTTTAAACTGCTGGACACTCTTTCTTAATCTTAGTCTAGCCAATGGTTAAATAATTAGATTTTGTTTTTTTTAATTTCAATTTAAACTAACTACCAACGGTACAAATGTACCATTTGAACCTCATACTGCTATGAAGAAAAGATATCGTTGATTATAAAAAAAATACTAATTGTTTTAAGGATATGGAAAACGTTATACTAATGTGCTGTATACAAAATCAGTCTTAAAAGTTCTTTCCTGTTAATTTTGATTTAACTGACTTGGCCCTATTTTCCCTCTGGCCCTTCTTTTGTTAACCGTCTTCTCGAATGTTCTCGTAAAGGTATTTCATGAAACATGTGCTTCCTTCCAACTTCCGGCCTACCCTTCCTAGTGGGGAAGTTTCTCCATCGTTTCAGAGGTACCCCAGTCACCGTAGCTATCGTACCCGCTTATATTTTGGGGGTCAAAAATTAGTAAAATCAATTCTGTTGGATACGTGGTTCATGGACGGCACATTTAATGTGACCACGAAACTCTTTCAACAATTGTATGTGATTCGGTGCCAGAAAAATGGGGTTATTTACTCGTGCGTTTACGTGTTTATGACAAGAAAAACTAACGAACTTTGTAGGACTCTTCTTATCGAGGTATTAAAAAGGATGTTAGACGTTGGGGGGATGATGGCAAATCCAAAACGAGTGATGCTGGACTTTAGAGGCTGTTTTTGTAATCTTTGTAAAAGTACCTGGAGGCGCATCCAAAATGGGGGCCTAGCAAACGACTACAATACGCATGCGGAAAGAAAGCGCGTGCGGAAAGTCTACCATTCACGTGCGGAATGGTAGTCGCGCTCGCTTTCCTTCCAGTTCAAGATGTTGAAGTGGGGATGCTTTTGCTGTGGTATACAGCTCCGGTAGAGCTCGCAGACATCCTACTCTAGTTTGTACGAACGTAAGTGAGTGGACGCCCAGAGAACGACGCCCCTGCCATGTTCCCTCCTGCCGTATGGAACGTCCACGACCTGGTGCTGACGACGGACAAAAGACTGTGAGTCGTGGAATCGTCGATTCAAGACTCTACTCGGCCAGACCAATACCTCTTTCTCGGCAGTAGTGACAGCGCTCCGGAAAGATGAGAGCCTCGAGAGGACAAAATTCCTGCTCCCTTCACAGGACGTTGTAGAGAACCGGTAGAAGCAAGAAGCGAAACAAACAAGGGAGTTCATAATAACTAAATTTTTTAATTACATCCAAAAGAAACTCAATGTGGAGGAGTTTTTAAAGTTAGTTGGCCAAAGAATTCGATTTTAATGAAGGAATGTTTATGTTAGTATTATAAGTAAGTATATTTTGCTGTATTAAATGTTTGTGCTTTTATTATTATTGTATTATTATATACTTCACCCATAATCAAGTAGAATGTTCAATCTAAAATATAGTTCTTTCATTCTGCTCTAAAAGCAAAATCGATCATTATTAATTTAACTTTTAAAGTAATTAGACCTATCTATTATAAGTGTTTGTATTTTCCCAAATAATTTGATTCAGTCGCAAACATAAAATCTTGGGCCAATATTATAAACAAGCTTTCTTTTTCAACACCTTTTCAAAATACAAATGACAATGCAGTATTTGATTCTGGCAAAGGGAGGAGCGTAGTATATTTTCAAGATTAATATGTCAGGTCACTTTATAATACTGTATTTGCCATCCTAATGCTACCAATTTAAATACAATTAAAATACCCCTGCTGCAGAAAATCTGTATACTCAGCGAATTTTGATTGCCTGAATACACTAACAATTTTGGTGCAAAACCCCCCGTTAAAACCCGTTTGGGAGGAGAAATATGTCTGGGTTTCAAATTCAATCTAATAAATAACTGAAGTTTTATACGTCTGTACCAAATTTTACTAAGGTCAAATATATTTTACCCTAGTTATCGCGCCAACAGACACGGATACACTCACTAACGTGTATACTACTATGCTATTAAAAGTTGAAAATTAGTAAGAAAACATTAATTTACAAGGATAACTACGTCATTACGGGACATAATATGTACGTTTTCCTGTTACGAGAGAGGTGTATGCTCTTTAATAATCACTACAAGAAACGGTGTACCAAGAGTGCTCCTAGCAAAGAAATCTCATACACTTCCTCCCACTGCAGCAAGAGCATAACTGTATTCCCATGAACGCGGTCATCACCCTGGTCGTCAACCCCAAGCGTAGACAACCCTGAATATCGCTCTCTCTCCCTCCCTTACACTCTCTTTCTCCCGCCCCCACCGTTGGCAAATCTCCGCACCAAGAGTTGCCGACGGCATCCCCCCCCCCCATCTACCTGACACCCGTTGGCAATTGGCAAAATTCCGGTTCCCAATCTGAACTGTTACGTGACCGTCACAAAACTGCTCAGGAGCTAGACCCATCATCTGTGATGGGATGTAAAGAAGGTTGGTTTGTTCCATCCGCTACGAAAACAGCGGAGCTATATCTAGTTAGCAAAAACGAAGAGGATATTGACTGCTGCTGCAAACTTATCTGTAATGAATGTAGCTCATGTATACATAGGTTGCACTTGCATTGATTCTGCTGGTGGCGTCCCCATCTCAATGATTGATAATTGATAATTAAGAGGTAAAATGTGTGAAACTGTTACGTGACCGTCACAAGACTGCTCAGGAGCTAGACCCATCATCTGTGATGGGATGTGAAGAAGGTTGGCTTATTCCATCCGCTACGGAAACAGCGGAGCTATATCTAGTTATCAAAAACGAAGAGGATATTGACTGCTGCTGCAAACTTATCTGTAATGAATGTAGCTCATGTATACATTAGTTCTGTTGCACTTGCATTGATTCTGCTATAAGGGGTAAAATGGGTGAAACTGTTACGTGACCGTCACAAAACTGCTTAGGAGCTAGACCCATCATCTGTGATGGGATGTGAAGAAGGTTGGCTTATTCCATCCGCTACGGAAACAGCGGAGCTACATCTAGTTAGCAAAAACGAAGAGGATATTGACTGCTGCTGCAAACTTATCTGTAATGAATGTAGCTCATGTATACATAAGTTCTGTAGCACGTGCATTGATTCTGCTATAAGGGGTAAAATGTGTGAAACTGTTACGTGACCGTCACAAGGCTGCTCAGGAGCTAGACCCATCATCTGTGATGGGATGTGAAGAAGGTTGGCTTATTCCATCCGCTACGGAAACAGCGGAGCTATATCTAGTTAGCAAAAACGAAGAGGATATTGACTGCTGCTGCAAACTTGTCTGTAATTAATGTAGCTCATGTATACATAAGTTCTGTTGTACTTGCATTGACTCTGCTATAAGGGTTAACATGTGTAAACATATTCATTTCGTGAGTCACTTCATCTCAGTAAAATAGGATCTCTCACGATACGTCCAGTAGAACTAATGTATATAGATTACATATATAGAGATTATGTATATTAGATTATGTATTATGTATATAGAGGATGTAATGGATATAGATGACGAAGGACAGATCATCACTATGTCAAAATTAGTAGAGATTGAATCGATATTAGTTGAGAGAGAGAGAGAGAGATACTTTATTAAGCAATCGTCAAGATTGAAAATGGCGTCATAAACAATAGGTCCGTAAGTATTTACAAATACAAAAAAAGTGTACAAAATCGAATGAGTCCATGTTTTTACACTTGGAAATTGGGCCAGTCCAAAAATTCTGCAACAGAAAAAAAATGGTCGTTCAATCAGCCACTTATGCAACGTCTTCTTGAAAGAACCAAGGTGAGACCTCTTCACTTCCATTGGTAGGATATTGTACAGCTTGGCTCCGGCGTATGTGGGGTTTCGCTGAAACCTCGTTGTGCGGTGTACTGTGCGGTGTACTGTGCGTTGTACTGTCAGGTTGAAGTCCTGAGCGTTCCTCGTGCTGTATGCGTGAAGTCTTTGGTTTCTCTTCAAATTTTCGGAGTTTGCAAGGTTGATCACTTCCAGAAGGTAAATTTTGACCACAGGTAAGATGTTAAGGTCGATGAAAGCTCTTCTACAGTTGTCTCTTGCATCAAGTCCCACCATAGTACGAATTGCTTTATCCTGAACTAGGAGCACCCGCTTCAAATTCACTTGACTTGCAGCGCCCCAAAGAACAATGCCATAACGTAAATTGCTCTCAAAAAGAGAACTGTATGCAATCCTGACAGCGTCCATGGTGCTAACACTCTTCACTCTTCTGAGGGCGAAGATGGCAGTGTTGAGCTTGCTGCAGAGCTCGTCAAGATGGTCAAGATGAGCAGTTGAGTAGGTCCACCGTTTGCCCTACGAACCGACACCAGGATGTAGTACCAATGAGACAGAATACATGGATGATATAATTGTGACGGCAGATGACATAGATGAAATGGAAGTTGACTCACCAGATCCGAAATCGCAAGGTGGTAAGAGCAGCAAAGTAAGTAAAGCTCCGTTGAAACGCAAATTTGTCAGTCAGTGGATGGAAGACCCAGAATTCAAAGACTGGATTACGAAGGGCAAAGATAAACTCAGTGGGGCCGACTCATGTCCTGGCAGAGGGGGTCGAGGTGGACGTAATGATGGAGGATATGAAGAGGGAGAGTATTATGAAGAAGGCAACTACGGAGGAGGAGAAGGTTACAATGGAGGAGGAGGAGGAGGAGGAATAGATCCTGGCTATCCCCGGCCCCCACCTCCACCACAGGAAATTCCACTGCCTAATTAGTTTTTACGTTAACCCTAGGAGTGTCGAAACCGATTTTCAGTATATGCTTTGCTTCAGTATATTTTCGCCACTCCTAGGTTTAAGTTATGTTTAGTAAAAACATGTTTGTTTTCTGAACTGGGCCACCGAGAGAACTTTTTAATTTACAATAGGTTTTTAAGCCTATAACAGAACTTAGCTGCATTTTAATTTACGTCCAACAGTCATTTGAATGAAAATATCGAATGAAAAATAACAATATGTAGATTATTCGATACATCGATTATTTCATTTGGTTAGTTAGGTTAGGTTTGAACCTAACCAACCCAACTTGATATATCGAATGAAATAATCGATATATCGATCAATAATAATTGATATATCGATCGATATTTCCATTCGAAGGACTGTAGGACGTAAAGTAAAGTGCAGCCCAGAACTGAGACTAAAATCTATTTTCTAATTTATAAATATTACTGAATATTAAAACAAAACTATTTGAATGTTACAAAAAACCCCAATAATTCAATAATACAATACAAAACAATCCAATAATAGTTAATTTCCATAGTCTTATGTTTGTTCTTTTGAATTAAAAAAAAAAATTTCAATTGCCCTCTTTGCTCACCCTCTCGATGGCCCGGGTTATTAAGTTTAAATTTAAAAAAAATTAGTTTAGTTTATTAAAACGTTTTTATTAGGTCGCTTTCTTGTCCGCTACAAATTTTGCAACCGATTTTATACTAACTTCCCGATGAGATAGGGACTTGAAACTTGAAACATATCTCACAAATGGAAGACAATGCAATATTATACAATTTAATTTTCATATTTCCCTTGGGCTACGCCCCATGGGCTTGTTTTATTAAATCGATTTCTTGCAAATTTTGATACTTCCCGATGAGCTAGAGACTTGAAATTTGAAACATAGCTCACATATGGATGACATTGCAATATTATATCATTTAATTTTCATATTTCCTTTCGGGCTACGCCCCATGGGCTTGTTTTTATTAGCTCGCTTTCCTACAAATTTTGATATAAATTTTAAACGATGTAACCGATAAGCTAGAGACTTGAAATTTGAAACATAGCTCACAAATGCATGACAATGCGATATTATATCATTTAATTTTCATATTTCCCTTGGGCTACGCCCCATGGGCTTCCAAATTTTCCATGTTTACATTTTAAAAGGATGTAAATATATCAACTAATTTAAGTCAGCTGTAAATACTTAAATTTGACAGTTCAAAAAGCAGAGGTTAAGAGCTACAGGTTCTGCTCCCAAGAGATTCTTTATACAAACAAACATTTCAAAATAAAGATAAACAATCTGATTGCAGATATAAAGGAGTTTGTTAATAATGTCATTTGTTATTTATTTAGTATTCTATAAAGTAAACAATAAATCAAATAGATTGATATATTTATAGTTAGTAGGTAGGCCATACATGCAATCTAATACATAATTATATGCAAAGAAACTCAAATAAACCTTAGATTTCCCACATGCCTCTGTCTTAATCTGACATAGACGCTTGAAATAGATTTAACATGCACACATATTAAAACTAAAAAGTATAAAATAATTTATAAATAAAAAACTTTTTTAAACAAAACGTTTTTAAACGCCCTAAAAAGTAGAAAATAATTTACAAATAATTTATAAATATGTCGAGAGAGTATAAATACTTGTACAATTTAAAACGAAAAACGTGGGGTGCATGCAATAGATAGTTTACAATTACCTTCACCTACTGAACTAATGTATTATTATCAATTAATTGCATGCACCCAACGTTTTTCGTTTTAAATCGTACAAGTATTTATACTCTCTCAACATATTTATAAATTATTTGTAAATTATTTTCTACTTTTTAGGGCGTTTAAAAACGTTTTGTTTAAAAAAGTTTTTTATTTATAAATTATTTATATCATGATATTAAAAAAGTCTGTTTTGTTTTCAAAAGTTTATGTTTATTTTGTTTTCTTACTAGGTTAGTTTGTTTTATTAAAACAAGTTTATACTCCTTTTGTTTTTTTTTATTACAAAAACATTTATGTTCCCTTTGTTTGTGGTGTATATTTAAGCATCTAATTTGTATTAGACGGTCGTTTGTATTAGATCACTTTTGTCGAACTTTTACTCCCACCAGGTACAGGTTTGTGTACGAAGTACTCAATAGACATACAAGTGCAGTAGCCTAAGATGGAGCAGGTACAGGTAGGTCCAGAATGAGGGAAGAGTTCTGTTTACAAAAATCAGCTTAGCGTATTATATATATTTATATCATTGGTATTTATTTCATTATTATTTGCATCATTTATATTTATCTGTAAAATCATTATAGCCTACGACAGTGCAGACTGCAGGCCTAACTTCTACCTCATACATCCTACATCATACAGGCCTAACTTCTACCACATATAGAAACCATCATAAGCATCGAATGGGCTTCCCATTTAATTATAACATGTGTAGACGTCTAAATAACATACTCCATAAAAATAATGAAAATATATCGAGCCAAATTTGAAATATAATTTTTTTTGAATCTGTAAAAATCGGTAGCTCAATAAGGAGCAGGCCTAAATTCTACCACATATAGAAACCATCATAATCATTGAATGGGCTTGCCATTTAATTATGACATGTGTAGACGTCTAAATAACATACTCCATAAAAATAATAAAAATTTATCGAGAAAAATTTGAAATATAATTTTTTTTGAATCTGTAACATCATTAGCCTACTAAAGTGCAGACTGCAGGTCCAATTTCTAACTCATGCAGAAACTATCATAAGCATCGAATGGGCTTCCCATTTAATTATAACATGTGTATACGTGTAAATAACATTCTCCAAAAAAATAATGAAAATATATCAAGCGAATTTTAAAATATATTTGTTTTTTGAATCTGTTAAATCGGAAGCTGGGTAAGGAGCAGGTCTAACTGTTACCACATATAGAAACCATCATAAGCATTGAATGGGCTTGCCATTTAATTATGACATGTGTATACGTGTAAAGAACATACTCCATAAAAATAATGAGAATTTATCGAGCCAAAATTTGAATTATAATTTTTTTTTTTAATCTGTAAAAATCGGTAGCACAGTAAGGTGCAGGCCTAACTGTTACCACATATAGAAACCATCATAAGCATTGAATGGGCTTGCCATTATTTATGACACGTGTATACGTCTAAATAATATACTCCATAAAAATAATCAAAATTTATCGAGCCAAATTTGAAATATAATTTTTTTTATCTGAAAAATCGGTAGCACAGTAAGGTGCAGGCCTATCTTCTACAAACTATAGAAACCATCACAAGCATTGAATGGGCTTGCCATTTAATTATAAGATGTGTATACGTCTAAATAACATACTCCATAAAAATAATCAAAATTTATCGAGCCAAATTTGAAATATAATTTTTTTTTATCTGAAAAATCGGTAGCTCAGTAAGGAGCAGGACTATCTTCTACCACCTATACAAACCATCATAAGCATTGAATGGGCTTGCCATTTAATTATAAGATGTGTATACGTCTAAATAACATACTCCATAAAAATAATCAAAATTTATTGAGCCAAATTTGAAATATAATTTTTTTTATCTGAAAAATCGGTAGCTCATTAAGGAGCAGGCCTATCTTCTACCACCTATACAAACCATCATAAGCATTGAATGGGCTTGCCATTTAATTATAACATGTGTAGACGTCTAAATAACATACTCCATAAAAATAATCAAAATTTATTGAGCCAAATTTGAAATATAATTTTTTTTATCTGAAAAATCGGTAGCACAGTAAGGTGCAGGCCTATCTTCTACAAACTATAGAAACCATCATAAGCATTGAATGAGCTTGCCATTTAATTATAAGATGTGTATACGTCTAAATAACATACTCCATAAAAATAATCAAAATTTATCGAGCCAAATTTGAAATATAATTTTTTTTTATCTGAAAAATCGGTAGCTCAGTAAGGAGCAGGACTATCTTCTACCACCTATACAAACCATCATAAGCATTGAATGGGCTTGCCATTTAATTATAAGATGTGTATACGTCTAAATAATATACTCCATAAAAATAATCAAAATTTATTGAGCCAAATTTGAAATATAATTTTTTTATCTGAAAAATCGGTAGCTCATTAAGGAGCAGGCCTATCTTCTACCACCTATACAAACCATCATAATCATTGAATGGGCTTGCCATTTAATTATAACATGTGTAGACGTCTAAATAACATACTCCATAAAAATAATAAAACTTTATCGAGCCAAATTTGAAATATAATTTTTTTTATGAAAAAATCGGTAGCTCAGTAAGGAGCAGGCCTATCTTCTACCACCTACAGAAACCATCATAAGCATCGAATGGGCTTGCCATTTTATTATGGCATGTATATACGTGTAAATAACATACTCCATAAAAATGATAAACATGAATCGAGCCAGATTTGAATAATACACTTTACTCATTCTGTTGATTGTACCAGTTGAAGCTGTTTTTGTTTACTGTAACACTGTTACATTCTCGTACGTCGGGAGTATATTTCGTGATTCAATATTATGGTATAACAGTAACAGTGTTATATCATTAGTATTTTTTTTCGTATGTGCCTCGGTTACATTTATTAATCAAATTAATTAAATTTAATATTAAAATAGGCTGAAAGGAATGTTTACATATCTTTGTTGCGAGTAATGCACTTTGAGGTTAGTGGTTCATAGAGTGATACAATGGAATAACAACAAGTGATATGAATGGTTATTGTACTTTATTTAGGCAACTCAGTTATATAAAAATGGTACATTAGTAAAACAAACACTTAAACACTGCTCAAAATATATGATTTCTACATTTTTTCAGTGAAACATGCATTTGAGGTTAGGAAGTTCTGAAGCCACGGCCTTCTTGATCTGCTGATCTGACGCTGACGTCATAGCTTAATGTTGGTTTATTGGCAATCTGTGAAACTGCCAATAAACCAACATTA